ACCAAGAAAACAATTGGTAACACACTACGTCGTGAAGGACTGAAATCCTGCAGCGCCCGCAAGGTCCCCCTGCTCAAGAAAGCACATATACAGGCCCATCTGAAGTTTGCCAATGAACGTCTGAATGATTCAGAGGAGAACTGGGTGAAAGTGTTGTGGTCAGATGAGACCAAAATGGAGCTCTTTGGCATCAACTCAACTCGCCGTGTTTGGAGGAGGAGGAATGCTGCCTATGACCCCAAGAACACCATCCCCACCGTCAAACATGGAGGTGGAAACATTATGCTTTGGGGGTGTATTTCTGCTAAGGGGACAGGACAACTTCACCTCATCAAAGGGACGATGGACGGGGCCATGTACCATCAAATCTTGGGTGAGAACCTCCTTCCCTCAGCCAGGGCATTGAAAATGGGTCGTGGATGGATATTCCAGCATGACAATGACCCAAAACACACGGCCAAGGCAACAAAGGAGTGGCTCAAGAAGAAGCACATTAAGGTCCTGGAGTGGCCTAGCCAGTCTCCAGACCTTAATCCCAGAGAAAATCTGTGGAGGGAGCTGAAGGTTCGAGTTGCCAAACGTCAGCCTCGAAACCTTAATGACTTGGAGAAGATCTGCAAAGAGGAGTGGAACAAAATCCCTCCTGAGATGTGTGCAAACCTGGTGGCCAACTCCAAGAAACGTCTGACCTCTGTGATTGCCAACAAGGGTTTTGCCACCAAGTACTAAGTCATGTTTTGCAGAGGGGTCAAATACTTATTTCCCTCATTAAAATGCAAATCAATTTATAACATTTTTGACATGCGTTTTTCTGGATTTTTTTGTTGTTATTCTGTCTCTCACTGTTCAAATAAACCTACCATTAAAATTATAGACTGATCATGTCTTTGTCAGTGAGCAAACATACAAAATCAGCAGGGGATCAAATACTTTTTTCCCCTCACTGTAGATGGGTGAAAAATTAATATTTAATCAATTTTAAATTTGTGCTGTAACAACAAAATGTGGAATAAGTCAAGGGGTGTGAATACTTTCTGAAGACACCGTATCTACTGTAGATATGAAGATGTCAGATTGTAGGTCTTTACTTGACGTTGTTCTGTGTCTTCAGGGCACCAATGAAATCCTGAGGATGTACATAGCTCTGACTGGGATGCAGTATGCTGGTAAAATACTGACCGGCAAAATCAAGTAAGTAACTTAAAGCTGCAACATGTAACGAAATATGAGTTATAGATCTGTCATTCTCATTTCTGCATATTGCACCTTTTAAGATAAACTACATGACCAAGAGTATGTGGACACCTGCTCGTCAAACATCTCATTCCAAAATCATGGGCATTAATATGGAGTTGGTCCCCCCTTTGCTGCTATAACAGCCTCCACTCTTCTGGGAAGGCTTTCCACTAGATGTTGGAACATTGCTGCGGGGACTTGCTTCCATTCAGCCACAAGAGCATTAGTGAGGTCGGGCACTGATGTTGGGCAATTAGGCCTGGCTCGCAGTTGGCGTTCCAATTCATTCCAAAGGTGTTCGATGGGGTTGAGGTCAGCGCTCTGTGCAGGCCAGTCAAGTTCTTCCACACCGATCTCAACAAACCATTTCTGTACGGACCTTGCTTTGTGCACAGGGGCATTGACATGCTGAAACAGGAAAGGGCATTCCTCAAACTGTTGCCACAAAGTTGGAAGCACAGAATCATCTAGAATGTCATTGTATTATGTAGCGTTAAGAGTTGACGGAAAGGTGGCATTACATTTACATCATTTAGCAGACGCTCTTATCCAGAGCGACTTACAAATTGGTGCATTCACCTTATGATAGCCAGTGGGACAACCACTTTGTTTTGTTTTTTAGTTTGTTTTTTATGGGGGGTTATGAAGGATTACTTTTATACTATTCCAGGTATTCCTTAAAGAGGTAGGGTTTCAAGTGTCTCCGCTGTCCTGGCGTCATTAGGGGCCATCCAATGACGGTGCCACATTGAAAGTTACTGAGCTCTTCAGGAAGGCCATTCTGCTGCAAATGTTTGTCTATAGAGATTGCATGGCTGTGTGCTCGATTTTATACACCTGTCAGCAACAGGTGTCACTGATATAGCTGAATCTACTAATTTGAAGGGGTGTCCACATACTGCTGTATATATAGTGTATCATGTGGAATGGGGATTCTGATCACCTCAATTCATGACATTTCTATCTGCAACATTCTGAACGTGTCACCTGTCTTTCTCTGCCTTGTCCAATCAGGGAGATGAAGAAGGGGAATGTGGGCGTGGCCTTGGAGATGTTGGGCAGGAAGTTGGGAGACGCGTTGGGGAGGAAGGTGGACCTGGGACTGACTGGGAGGGACGGGGTGGTGCATCCTGCTCTGGCGGTGCGTACCTTATTTAACCTTTAACCCCTAACATTGACCTTGACTGAATGGGACGGCACATACCTCATATGCAGTACTACAGTGCATTCCGAAAGTATTCAGACCCCTTGACTTTTTCCACATTTTATTACATTACAGCCTTATTATAAAATGTATTAATTTGTTTTTTTTCCTCATCAATCTACACACAAGCCCCCGTAATGACAAAGTGAAAACTGTTTAAAAATACATTAACAATTGTTCAAATGTATATTATTTTTTTACTGAAATGTCACATTTACATAAGTATTCAGACCCTTTACTCAGTACTTTGTTGAAGCACCTTTGGCAGCTATTACAGCCTCAAGTCTTCTTGGGTATGATGCTAAGCCTCTAGTCTTGTTGTGACGCTACAAGCTTGGCTCACCTGTATACTAGCTACAGGGCCTTGCCGTTTTTCCTATTTTGATCTCTACCCAAACCATAAGAACTATATACAGTGCTTTGCAAAAGTATTCATCCCCCTCTGCGTTTTTCCTATTTTGTTGCATTACAACCTGTAATTTAAATGGATTTTTATTTGGATTTCATGTAATGGACATACACAAAATAATCCAAATTGGTGAAGTGAAATTAAAAAAATAACGTGTTAAAAAAAAATCTAAGAAATAAATTACGGAAAAGTGGTGCGTGCATATGTATTCACCCCCTTTGCTATGAAGCACCTAAATAAGATCTGGTGCAACCAATTACCTTCAGAAGTCACATAATTAGTTAATAAAGTCCACCTGTGTGCAATCTAAGTGTCACATGATCTGTCACATGATCTCAGTATATATACACCTGTTCTGAAAGGCCCCAGAGTCTGCAACACCACGAAGCAAGGGGCACCACCAAGCAAGCGGCACCATGAAGACCAAGGAGTTCTCCAAACAGGTCAGGGACAAAGTTGTGGAGAAGAACAGATCAGGGTTGGGTTATAAAAAAATATCAGACACTTTGAACATCCCACGGAGCACCATTAAATCCATTATAAAAAAATTGAAAGAATATGGCACCACAACAAAATGCCAAGAGGGGGCCACCCACCAAAACTCACAGACCAGGCAAGGAGGGCATTCATCAGAGAGGCAACAAAGAGACCAAAGATAACCCTGAAGGAGCTGCAAAGCTCCACAGCAGAGATTGGAGTATCTGTCCATTGATCACTTTAAGCCGTACACTCCACAGAGCTGGGCTTTACGGAAGAGGGGCCAGAAAAAAGCCATTGCTTAAAGAAAAAAAGAAGCAAACACGTTTGGTGTTTGCCAAAAGGCATGTGGGAGACTCCCCAAATATATGGAAGAAGGTACTCTGGTCAGACTAAAATGTAGCTTTTTGGCCATCAAGGAAAATGCTATGTCTGGTGCAAACCCAACACCTCTCATCACCCCGAGAACACCATCCCCACAGTGAAGCATGGTGGCGGCAGCATCATGCTGTGGGGATGTTTTTCATCGGCAGGGACTGGGAAACTGGTCAGAATTGAAGGAATGATGGATGGCGCTAAATACAGGGAAATTCTTGAGGGAAACCTGTTTCAGTCTTCCAGAGATTTGAGACTGGGACGGAGGTTCACCTTCCAGCAGGACAATGACCCTAAGCATACTGCTAAAGCAACACTTGAGTGGTTTAAGGGGAAACGTCTTGGAATGGCCTAGTCAAATCCCAGACCTCAATCCAATTGAGAATCTGTGGTATGACTTAAAGATTGCTGTACACCAGTGGAACCCATCCAACTTGAAGGAGCTGGAGCAGTTTTGCCTTGAAGAATGGGCAAAAATCCCAGTGGCTAGATGTGCCAAGCTTATAGAGACATACCCCAAGGGACTTGCAGCTGTAATTGCTGCAAAAGGTGGCTCTACAAAGTATTGACTTTGGGGGGGGTGAATAGTTATGCACGCTCAAGTTTTCAGTTGTTTTGTCTTATTTCTTGTTTTTCACAACAACAACAAAAACATTTGCATCTTCAAAGTGGCAGGCATGTTGTGTAAATCAAATGATACAAACCCCAAAAGAATCCATTTTAATTCCAGGTTGTAAGGCAACAAAATAGAAAAAATGCCAAGGGGGGTGAATACTTTCGCAAGCCACTGTATTTGTGGAGTTTCTCCCATTCTTCTCTGCAGATCCTCTCAAGCTCTGTCTGGTTGCATGGGGAGAGTCGCTGCACAGCTATTTTCAGGTCTCTCCAGAGATGTTAAATCGGGTTCAAGTCCTAGTTCTGGCTGGGCCACTCAAGAACATTCAGAGACTTGTTCCGAAGCCACTCCTGCGTTGTCTTGGCTGTGTGCTTAGGGTCTTTGTCCTGTTGGAAGGTGAACCTTTGCCCCAGTCTGAGGTCCTGAGCGCTCTGGAGCAGGTTTTCATCAAGGATCTCTCTGTACTTTGTGCCGTTCATCTTTCCCTCGATCCTGACTAGTCACCCAGTCCCTGCCGCTGAAAAACATCCCCACAGCATGATGCTGCCACCACCATGCTTCACCGTAGGGATGGTGCCAGGTTTCCTCCAGACGTGACTCTTGGCATTCAGGCAAAATAGTTCCATTTTGGTTTCATCAGACCATAGAATCTTGTTTCTCATGGTGTGAGAGTCTTTATGTGCCTTTTGGCAAACTCCAAGCGGGCTGTCGTGCCTTTTACTGAGGAGTGGCTTCTGTCTGGCCACTCTACCATAAAGGCCTGATTGGTGGAGTGCTGCAGAGATGGTTGTCCTTCTTGAAATCAAATCACATTTGCCACATGCGCCGAATACAACAGGTGTAGACCTTACAGTGAAATGCTTATTTACAAGCACTTAACCTACAACGCAGTTTTAAGAAAATAAAAAAAGTGTTAAGTAAAAAATAGCAAATAATTAAAGAGCAGCAGTAAAATAAGATGACAGTATGGAGGCTATATACAGGGGGGTACCGGTACACAGTCAATGTGCGGGGGCATCAGCTAGTCGAGGTAATTGAGGTAATATGTACATGTGGGTAGAGTTAAAGTGACTATGCATAAATAATAAACAGAGTAGCAGCAGCATAAAAGAGGGGGACGGGGTGGGGGTGCAAATAGTCTGGGTAGCCATGATTAGCTGTTCAGGAGTCTTATGGCTTGGGGATAGAAGCTGTTGAGAAGCCTTTTGGACCTAGACTTGGCGCTCCGGTACCGCTTGCCGTGCGGTAGCAGAGAGAACAGTCTGACTAGGGTGGCTGGAGTCTTTGACAATTTTTAGGGCCTTCCTCTGACACCGCCTGGGATGGAGGTCCTGGATGGCAGGAAGCTTGGCCCCAGTCATGTACTGGGCTGTACGCACTACCCTCTGTAGTGCGTTGCGGTCGGAGGCCGAGCAGTTGCCATACCAGGCTGTGATGCAACGCTCTCGATGGTGCAGCTGTAAAACTTTTTGAGGATCTGAGGACCCATGCCAAATCTTTTCAGTCTCCTGAGGGGGAATAGGCTTTGTCGTGCCCTCTTCACGACTGTCTTGGTGTGTTTGGACCATGATAGTTTGTTGGTGATGTGGACACCAAGGAACTTGAAGCTCTCAACCTGTTCCACTACTGACCCGTCGATGAGAATGGGGGCGTGCTCAGTCTTTTTTCCTGTAGTCCACAATCATCTCCTTTGTCTTGCTCACATTGAGGGAGAGGTTGTTATCCTGGCACCACACAGCCAGGTCTCTGACCTCCTTCCTATAGGCTGTCTCATCATTGTCGGTGATCAGGCCTACCACTGTTGTGTCGTCGGCAAACTTAATGATGTTGTTGGAGTCGTGCCTGGCCATGCAGTCATGGGTGAACAGGGAGTACAGGAGGGGACTGAGCACGCACCCCTGAGGGGCCCCCGTGTTGAGGATCAGCGTAGCAGATGTGTTGTTACCTACCCTTACCACCTGTGGGGCGGCCCGTCAGGAAGTCCAGGATCCAGTTGCAGAGGGAGGTGTTTAGTCCCAGGGTCCTTAGCTTAGTGATGAGCTTTGAGGGCACTATGGTGTTGAACGGTGAGCTGTAGTCAATTAATAGCATTCTCACGTAGGTGTTCCTCTTGTCCAGGTGGGAAAGGGCAGTGTGGAGTGCAATAGAGATTGCGTCATCTGTGGATCTGTTAGGGTGGTATGCAAATTGGAGTCGGTCTAGGGTTTCTGGGATAATGTTGATGTGAGCCATTACCAGCCTTTCAAAGCACTTCATGGCTACAGACGTGAGTGCTATGGGTCTGTAGTCATTTATGCAGGTTATCTTAGGGTTCTTGGGCACAGGGACTATGGTGGTCTGCTTGAAACATGTTGGTATTACAGACTCAGTCAGGGACATGTTGAATATGTCAGTGAAGACACTTGCCAGTTGGTCAGCACATGCTCTGAGTACACGTCCTGGTAATCCGTCTGGCCCTGCGGCCTTGTGAATGTTGACCTGCTTAACAGTCTTACTCACATCGGCTACGGAGAGCGTGATCGCATATTCATCCGGAACAGCTGATGCTCTCATGCATGCTTCAGTGTTGCTTGCCTCGAAGCGAGCATAGACGTGATTTAGCTCGTCTGGTAGGCTTGTGTCTTTGGGCAGCTCGTGGCTGTGCTTCCCTTTGTAGTCTAATAGTTTTCATGCCCTGCCACATCCGACGAGCGTCAGAGCCAGTGTAGTACGATTCAATCTTAGTCCTGTATTGACGCTTTGCCTGTTTGATGGTTCGTCGGAGGGTATAGCGGGATTTCTTATAAGCGTCCGGGTTAGAGTGCGGATGTTGCCTGTAATCCATGGCTTCTGGTTGGGGTATGTACGTACGGTCACTGTGGGGACGACATCATCAATGCACTTATTGATGAAGCCAGTGACTGATGTGGTGTACTCATCAATGCTATCGGAAGAATCCCGGAACATGTTCCAGTCTGTGCTAGCAAAACAGTCCTGTAGCTTAGCATCTGCGTCATCTGACCACTTCCTTATTAACCGAGTCACTGGTGCTTCCTGCTTTAGTTTTTGCTTATAAGCAGGAATCAGGAGGATAGAGTTATGGTCAGATTTGCCAAATGGAGGGCGAGGGAGAGCTTTGTATGCGTCTCTGTGTGTGGAGTAAAGGTGGTCTAGAGTTTTTTTCCTCTGGTTGCACATTTAACATGCTGGTAGAAATGAGGTAGAACGGATTTAAGTTTCCCTGCATTAAAGTCCCCGGCCACTAGTAGCGCTGCCTCTGGATGAGTGTTTTCCTGTTGACTTATGGCCTTGTACAACTCATTCAGTGCAATCTTAATGCCAGCATTGGTTTGTGGTGGTAAATAGACAGCTATGAAAAATATAGATGAAAACTCTCTTGGTAAATAGTGTGGTCTACAGCTTATCATAAGATACTCTACCTCAGGCGAGCAAAACCTCGAGACTTCCTTAGTATTTGATTTTATGCACCAGCTGTTGTTTACAAATATACACAGACCGCCACCCCTTGTCTTACCGGAGTCAGCCGTTCTATCCTGCCGATGTAGCGTATATCCCACCAGCTGTATGTTATCCATGTTGTCGTTCAGCCACGACTCGGTGAAACATAAGATATTACAGTTTTTAATGTCCCGTTTGTAGGATAACCGTAATCTTAGGTCATCCAATTTCTTCTCCAATGATTGAAGATTTGCTAATAGGATTGATGGAAGAGGCAGTTTACTCGCTCGCCGTCGGATCCTTACAAGGCACCCCGACCTACGTCCACGATATCTCCGTCTCTTCCTCATGCGAATGACGGGGATTTGGGCCTTGTCGGGTGTCTGTAGGATGTCCGACTCGTTGAAGAAAAAAATATTTGTTCAATACGAGCTGAGTAATCGCTGTCCTGATATCCAGAAGCTCTTTTTCGTCATAAGAGACGATGGCAGAAACATTATGTACAAAATAAATTAAAAATAACGCGGAAAAACACACATAATAGTGCAATTGGTTAGACAGCTGTAAAACGGCAGCCTTCCTCCTACCGCACCAGATACTGACTGTGAGGTTCTCCCATCTTCACAGAGGAACTCTGGAGCTCTGTCAGAGTGACCATTGGGTTCTTGGCCACCTCCCTGACCAAGGTCCTTCTCCCCCGATTGCTCAGTTTGGCCGGGCAGCCAGCTCTAGGAAGAGTCTTGGTGGTTCCAAACTTCTTCCATTTAAGGATGATGGAGGCCACTGTGTTCTTTTGGTACCCTTCCCCAGATCTGTGCTTCGACACAATCCTGTCTCTGAGCTCTACGGACAATTCCTTCGACTTCATGGCTCGGTTTTTGCTCTGACATGCACTGTCAACTATGGGACCTTATATAGACAGGTGGGTGCCTTTCCAAATCATGTCCAATCAATTTCCTCACACAGCCCATCTGCCCTTCTCCCGACCGGCGACACTAAAGCTGCCAGTCGGAAGCAAGACGCTTTTTTGTAGCTATTAACCTCTACGGGATCAGTGTCCCGTATACGGGACGGTTGAGCTAATGTGCGCTAATGTGATTAGAATGACAGTTGTAAGTAACAGCAAACTTTCCTGGACATAGACATGTCTTAGATGGGCAGAAAGCTGAAACTAACCCTAACCCTTTCCTAGACATAGACATGTCTTAGATGGGCAGAAAGCTGAAACTAACCCTAACCCTTTCCTAGACATAGACATGTCTTAGATGGGCAGAAAGCTGAAACTAACCCTAACCCTTTCCTAGACATAGACATGTCTTATATGGGCAGAAAGCTTAAACTGCAATATTATATTGTTTCTCTTGGATTTCAAAGATGATGAAAAAAAACAAAGAAAACACTTTTTATTTTATTTTTATTATTATCTTTTACCAGATGTAATGTGTTATATTCTCCTTCATTCATTTCACATTTCCACAAACTTCAGTGTTTCCTTTCAAATGGTTTCAAGAATATGCATATCCTTGCTTCAGGTCCTGAGCTACAGGCAGTTAGATTTGGGTTTGTCATTTTAGACAAAAATGGGAAAAAAAGGGTCCGATCCTTAAGAGGTTAAATAGTAGATTCCCACAAAAAACAGTAATTAAGCTGGAATTGTGTAGTAATGCAAATAGGAAATGTTTGTTCACCAGTAGGCATGTCCCAAAACTCTGCTCATCACTACTCAAATTACAACATCATCAATACTGACTTACCACTCCTGTATGTAGTCAATAAGTAGTGAAACAACGTATTATTGATTAGAACTTGTAAGATAGTGATGAATAGTAAGTTAGTGTGGTTTTTCATGCGGTTGTGGCAATATACTGCCATCTGGTGGAGATATACTGCCATCTGGTGGCGATATACTGCCATCTGGTGGCGATATACTGCCATCTGGTGGCGATATACTGCCATCTGGTGGCGACTAGATAACAATTGCATAATAGCAACTATTATTACAAATTGATGGTCTTTGAAAATAAACATTATTGCTTGAAAAAGTACTTAAGTCCTTGAATTTGACTTGTTACTTACTGTGCTAACCCTGCATTCTGTCACATGATGTTTCTGTGCTAACCCTGCATTCTGTCACATGATGTTTCTGTGCTAACCCTGCATTCTGTCACATGATGTTTCTGTGCTAACCCTGCATTCTGTCACATGATGTTTCTGTGCTAACCCTGCATTCTGTCACATGATGTTTTTAAACCATTCTGTCACTTTGGTAGGAATTATCTAATGCGGAGTTTCCCAACCCTCTCCTCGGGCCCCAGACGTTCCACATGTTTGTTTTAACCCTAAACTGGTGCACCTGATGTAATTAGTCAACTAATCATCAAGCCTTTGACTAATCATCAAGACTTTGACTAATTGAATCAGGTGTGCCAGTTTAGGATTAAAACAAAACTGCTAGAAAGTCTGGGGGGGCCCGAGGAGAGGGTTGGGAAACCCTGATCTAAAGTATAAATGAAGTCATGGTTTCCCTGTCCCCTATTCTCTCCCAGGACAGTGCCCGAGGAGAGGGTTGGGAAACCCTGATCTAATGTATAAATGAAGTCATGGTTTCCCTGTCCCCTATTCTCTCCCAGGACAGTGCCAAATGAAGTCATGGTTTCCCTGTCCCCTATTCTCTCCCAGGACAGTGCCAAATGAAGTCATGGTTTCCCTGTCCCCTATTCTCTCCCAGGACAGTGCCAAATGAAGTCATGGTTTCCCTGTCCCCTATTCTCTCCCAGGACAGTGCCAAATGAAGTCATGGTTTCCCTGTCCCCTATTCTCTCCCAGGACAGTGCCAAATGAAGTCATGGTTTCCCTGTCCCCTATTCTCTCCCAGGACAGTGCCCGAGAAGTCATGGTTTCCCTGTCCCCTATTCTCTCCCAGGACAGTGCCAAATGAAGTCATGGTTTCCCTGTCCCCTATTCTCTCCCAGGACAGTGCCCGAGAAGTCATGGTTTCCCTGTCCCCTATTCTCTCCCAGGACAGTGCCAAATGAAGTCATGGTTTCCCTGTCCCCTATTCTCTCCCAGGACAGTGCCAAATGAAGTCATGGTTTCCCTGTCCCCTATTCTCTCCCAGGACAGTGCCAAATGAAGTCATGGTTTCCCTGTCCCCTATTCTCTCCCAGGACAGTGCCAAATGAAGTCATGGTTTCCCTGTCCCCTATTCTCTCCCAGGACAGTGTATAAATGAAGTCATGGTTTCCCTGTCCCCTATTCTCTCCCAGGGCAGTGTATAAATGGAGTCATGGTTTCCCTGTCCCCTATGAAGTCATGGTTTCCCTGTCCCCTATTCTCTCCCAGGGCAGTGTATAAATGGAGTCATGGTTTCCCTGTCCCCTATTCTCTCCCAGGACAGTGTATAAATGGAGTCATGGTTTCCCTGTCCCCTATGAAGTCATGGTTTCCCTGTCCCCTATTCTCTCCCAGGACAGTGTATAAATGAAGTCATGGTTTCCCTGTCCCCTATGAAGTCATGGTTTCCCTGTCCCCTATTCTCTCCCAGGACAGTGTATAAATGAAGTCATGGTTTCCCTGTCCCCTATTCTCTCCCAGGACAGTGTATAAATGGAGTCATGGTTTCCCTGTCCCCTATGAAGTCATGGTTTCCCTGTCCCCTATTCTCTCCCAGGGCAGTGTATAAATGGAGTCATGGTTTCCCTGTCCCCTATGAAGTCATGGTTTCCCTGTCCCCTATGAAGTCATGGTTTCCCTGTCCCCTATTCTCTCCCAGGACAGTGTATAAATGGTTTCCCTGTCCCCTATTCTCTCCCAGGACAGTGTATAAATGGTTTCCCTGTCCCCTATTCTCTCCCAGGACAGTGTATAAATGGAGTCATGGTTTCCCTGTCCCCTATTCTCTCCCAGGACAGTGTATAAATGGTTTCCCTGTCCCCTATTCTCTCCCAGGACAGTGTATAAATGAAGTCATGGTTTCCCTGTCCCCTATTCTCTCCCAGGACAGTGTATAAATGGAGTCATGGTTTCCCTGTCCCCAAATGGAGTCATGGTTTCCCTGTCCCCTATTCTCTCCCAGGACAGTGTATAAATGACGTCATGGTTTCCCTGTCCCCTATTCTCTCCCAGGACAGTGTATAAATGGTTTCCCTGTCCCCTATTCTCTCCCAGGACAGTGTATAAATGGAGTCATGGTTTCCCTGTCCCCAAATGGAGTCATGGTTTCCCTGTCCCCTATTCTAATGGAGTCATGGTTTCCCTGTCCCCTATTCTAATGGAGTCATGGTTTCCCTGTCCCCAAATGGAGTCATGGTTTCCCTGTCCCCTATTCTCTCCCAGGACAGTGTATAAATGGTTTCCCTGTCCCCAAATGGAGTCATGGTTTCCCTGTCCCCTATTCTAATGGAGTCATGGTTTCCCTGTCCCCTATTCTAATGGAGTCATGGTTTCCCTGTCCCCTATTCTAATGGAGTCATGGTTTCCCTGTCCCCTATTCTAATGGAGTCATGGTTTCCCTGTCCCCAAATGGAGTCATGGTTTCCCTGTCCCCTATTCTCTCCCAGGACAGTGTATAAATGGTTTCCCTGTCCCCAAATGGAGTCATGGTTTCCCTGTCCCCTATTCTCTCCCAGGACAGTGTATAAATGGTTTCCCTGTCCCCAAATGGAGTCATGGTTTCCCTGTCCCCTATTCTCTCCCAGGACAGCGCCCGGAAACTGGAGCAGAACGTGGCCCAGTTTGGCTCCACAGTGGAGAACCTGCTGTACAGATATGGAAAGGTACATTATAGCCTTATTATGTATATACAGTGCCTTCAGAAAGTATTAATACCCCTTGACTTATTCCAAAATTCTTCAATCTCTGTCAAGTTGGTTGTTGATTATTGCTAGAAAGCCATTTTCAGGTCTTCCCAAGTAGATTTATTTTAAGGCGTTTCAAGTAGATTTAAGTCAAAACTGTAACTCGCCACTCAGGAACATTCACTGTCTTCATGGTAAGCAACTCCAATGTAGATTTGGCCTTGTGTTTTAGGTTATTGTCCTGCTAAAAGTTTCCTCTAGGATGTTGCCTGTGCTTAGCTCCATTTTGTTAATTTTATTAATCCTTAAAAACTACCCAGTCCTTAACGATGACAAAGATTTGCACCAAACATAATGTTTTGTATTCAGGACATAAAGTTAATTTCTTTGAAGTTTTAATTTAGTGCCTTATTGCAAACAGGATGCATGTTTTGGAATCTTTTTATTCTGTACAGGCTTCCTTCTTTTCACTTAATACAATTAGGTTAGTATTGTGGAGTAACTACAATGTTGTTGATCCATCCTCAGTTTTCTCCCATCACAGCCATTAACCTCTAACTGTTAAAGTCACCATTGGCCTCATGGTGAAATCCCTGAGCAGTTTCCTTCCTCTCCGGCAACTGAGTTAGGAAGGACGCCTGTATCTTTGTAGTGACTGGGTGTATTGATACACCATCCAAAGTGTAATTAATAACTTCACCATTCTCAAAGGGTTATTCAATGTCTGCTTTTTTTAAATACTTTTTTTTATGTACCAATAGGTTATTTGCAAAGCGTTGGAAAACCTCCCTGGTCTTTGTGGTTGAATCTGTGTTTGAAATTCAATTCACTGCTCAACTGATGGACCTTTATAGATAATTGTATGTGTGGGGTACAGAGATGAGGTAGTCATTCAGAAATCATGTTAAACACTATTATTGCACACCAGAGGCGCAACTTTTGTTTTAGAAGGGGGCGAGGGACGGGACATAACGGGGGACATAACTTGGGTGGAGGGTCTGGGGGTCCTCCCATTTTTTGGTGCATCTAATGTTCAATCTTCACAATCTAATATGACCCATGGCCCTTCTAGCTGTCTCTATTTAGAACAATGCCCACAGTCATCAAGCTAGGTAAGAGATCATTATTAAATATGTTTAAGCGTTTGATAAGACTGAACTAAATCAATGATAATTCAATAATCAATCTCAAATATATATATATATATATATATTTTTATTATTATTTTTATTTTTATTTTTTTTCTGTTCAAATATTTTTTATTGAACATACACAAGAATGGTGTATAGGTATGAAAGACATGTGTACAGTTCTTATCTAAACATAAGAGAACAGACATGAACAACAAGACCCAGAGTTCTGGACACAAAACAAATATTACAAAACACGACATACAGAACAGGGACAGGTAGAAAGAAAAAGGGTAGATGTAACCCCCCCACTTATACCCCCCTTTATCCCCCCCCCCCCCCCCTATTCCACCCTATTCCCCTACCGACTGCTCGGGTGTCGGGGCCAGCACACGCTGCCCAAAGGTAGATTACAATATGACAATTGAGAGTGCGTTAAAAAGTACAAATTCACAGCGCCGACTGGTCCAGGTAAGAGAGGAAAGGCTGCCAGATTTGATCAAATGTTGATAATTTATTGTTCAGAATATATCTAATTCTTTCTAAGTGTACAGTTTTTGCCACTTCGCTGAGCCATAATTTGGTAGAGGGCGCTTCCCTCCTTTTCCAAAACAACAAGATTAATTTTTTTGCCGAAATGAGACTGTAAGAATTTAGGGAATCGGACACTCCCAGGATTATCAGAAGCAGGTCTGGGTCTATTGAAGTCTCCAGAACTTCAGAGAGGATCTCCCCTAACGTGGGCCTGTTTTCAGGACAGACTCCTTTAGTCGTACTGTATTCCATAGAAGGCATCCAGACCTCCCCTGAGGTGGGCCTGTTTTCAGGACAGACTCCTTTAGTCGTACTGTATTCCATAGAAGGCATCCAGACCTCCCCTGACGTGGGCCTGTTTTCAATACAGACTCCTTTAGTCGTACTGTATTCCATAGAAGGCATCCAGACCTCCCCTGACGTGGGCCTGTTTTCAGGACAGACTCCTTTAGTCGTACTGTATTCCATAGAAGGCATCCAGACCTCCCCTGACGTGGGCCTGTTTTCAGGACAGACTCCTTTAGTCGTACTGTATTCCATAGAAGGCATCCAGACCTCCCCTAACGTGGGCCTGTTTTCAGGACAGACTCCTTTAGTCCTACTGTATTCCATAGAAGGCATCCAGACCTCCCCTGACGTGGGCCTGTTTTCAGGACAGACTCCTTTAGTCGTACTGTATTCCATAGAAGGCATCCAGACCTCCCCTAACGTGGGCCTGTTTTCAGGACAGACTCCTTTAGTCCTACTGTATTCCATAGAAGGCATCCAGACCTCCCCTGACGTGGGCCTGTTTTCAGGACAGACTCCTTTAGTCGTACTGTATTCCATAGAAGGCATCCAGACCTCCCCTGACGTGGGCCTGTTTTCAGGACAGACTCCTTTAGTCGTACTGTATTCCATAGAAGGCATCCAGACCTCCCCTGACGTGGGCCTGTTTTCAGGACAGACTCCTTTAGTCGTACTGTATTCCATAGAAGGCATCCAGACCTCCCCTGACGTGGGCCTGTTTTCAGGACAGACTCTGTTTGTCGTACTGTATTCCATAGAAGGCATCCAGACCTTATGAAAGTTGCCCAGTATACCCTTAATCTGGTAATAAATATAATCTAGTGATGCATGACTTGACATTTCTGCCATCCATTGTGACATTGTGGGAGGATAACCAACCTTCCAATTAATGGCAATGCATTTCTTAGCTGCTATAAATGCTAGGTTATACTGTTTCTTCTGATAACAGTCTCCAGGGTCAACATTTCCAATCAAACAAAAACAGGAAGAAGGGAGAATCTGTAGACATGCTGAGATAATAGAACATACTCTTTGCCGGAATTCACAAGACCATAACATATGCAAATATATCCCCTTTAGTGTTATTCACCTCCAGCAGAATATGTTATTCAGTTTCACTGGCATATAGTACGTTCTATGGATGGTCTTCAACTGCAGTAATTTATGTCTGAGATGATATGAAGATGACGGGGCATTGGAACATCTGCATCCATTCATCATCATCAATAGCGTCTACCAGGTCTTCCTCACATTTTTTGTTTGACATGTTTTGAAAAGCCTCTATCAACCCCTTCATACAGTTTGGAAATCAACTTTAGAGGTTTGTCAGACTGCCTTAAAATAGTTTCAATCTTTGAAGCTTCTTGCTTGTCCAGTGTTTGCTGCACAGAGAGAATAAAGTGTTGTATCTGGAAAAGTTAACCTCTGTGCCGCCCCTGGCTGCCTGAGCCTGATGAGACCCCTGTCACCATCTGATCCTGTTTAGATAAGCCTTGACAAAGAATTACCTTGGTGTAAATTTACAGTGCATTCGGAAAGTATTCAGACCCCTTGACTTTTTCCACATTTTGTTACGTTACAGCCTTATTCTAAAATGGATTACATTGTTTTTTTCCCTCATAAATCTACACACAATACCCCATAATGACAAAGCAAAAACAGGTTTTTAGAAATTTCTTCAAATGTATTCAAAAAAAAAATAATACTATCACATTTACATGAGTATGCAGACCCATTACTCAGTACTTTGTTGAAGCACCTTTCGCAGTGATTACAGCTTCAAGTCTTCTTTGGTATGACGCTACAAGCTTGGCACACCTGTATTTGGGGAGTTTCTCCCATTCTTCTCTGCAGATCCTTTCAAGCTCTGTCAGGTTGGATGGGGAACGTTGCTGCACAGTTATTTTCAGGTATCTCCAGATATGTTCGATCGGGTTCAAGTCCGGCTCTGGCTGGGCCACTCAAGGACATTCAGAGACTTGTCCAGAAGCCACTCCTCCGTTGTCTTGGCTGTGTGCTTAGTGTTGATGTCCTGTTGGAAGGTGAACCTTCGCCCCAGTCTGAGGTCCTGAGCGCTCTGGATCAGGTTTTCATCAAGGATCTCACTGTACTTTGCTCCGTTCATCTTCCCCTCGATCCTGACTAGTCTCCCAGTCCCTGCCGCTGAAAAACATCCCCACAGCATGATGCTGCCACCACCATGCTTCACCGTAGGGATGGTGCCATGTTTCCTCCAGACGTGACGCTTCACATTCAGGCCAAAGAGTTCAATCTTGGTTTCATCAGACCCAAGAATCTCATGGTCTGAGAGTCCTTTAGGTGCCTTTTGGCAAACTCCAAGCGGGCTGTCGTGCATTTTACTGAGGATTGGCTTCCGTCTGGCCACTCTACCATAAAGGCCTGATTGGTGGAGTGCTCCAGATATGGTTGTCCCTCTGGAAGTTTCTCCCATCTCAACAGAGGAACAGGGACCATCAGGTTCTTGGTCACCTCCCTGTCCAAGGCCCTTCTTCCCCGATTGCTCAGTTTGGCCGGGCGGCCAGCTCTAGGAAGAGTCTTGGTGGTTCCAAACTTTTTCCATTTAAGAATGATGGAGGCCACTGTGTTCTTTTGGTACCCTTCCCCAGATCTGTGCCTCGACACAATCCTGTCTTGGAGCTCTACTGACAATTCTAAGAAATTCTAAAAACCTGTTTTTGCTTTGTCATTATGGGGTATTGTGTGTAGATTGAGATTTTTATTTTTATTAAATCAATTTTAGAATAAGGCTGTAACATAACAAAATGTGGAAAAAGTCAAGGGTTCTGAATACTTTCCGAATGCACTGTATACATTATATATATATATATATATATATATATGTGTAGAGCTGTTTATACAGTGTCAGTGTTAAAAGTAGGGAATTAGCCAGGGAAAATTACAGATCTATAACGTTACATTGCTATACTGACTAATAGAAACTCACATTGCGCTGAAGAAACATCAGAATATGTCGGA